CCTTCTAACCCAGGCAGTACAATCTCACAGGACTTTCCCCAATGACAGAAAAAGGGAGGACCCTCCTCAGGATTTAATGCTCCCCCATTTCATCCGTCCCCCCCCAACACAACTCACAGACTACATGTGGCAGTTATTTTTCTAGTTTGCTTGAAGTGGAACAGAGAAGAGCAGAATCACTGTATTCGTCATACAAAACCTAACCTTTCTGGTGTTAGTGAGTGCACACAAAAACAGCTGTGCTACAAGACTAGCAATATACTGCCTAGCACGATCTGACAGTAGTACCTTGATGCCAGAAGTTATGAGGGTCTTTTTTACTGTCAGTCACACTTTACCTTAAGAAAGCAGGCAACCAAAACCTGACCAAACATAATTCTGGCACCACTAGGATTATAAGGTATCCTACAGTCAGTCACCTGTGACAGCAGCGTCTGCAGACTTCAAATGCACACCCTCACAGGGGTCAGCTTCTGACTCACATCTCCACAGCAGTGCTCCAGCAGGATGGCTACCGGGCTAGGGAAAGCTGCTCACCTCAAAAACCTGGCACCTCAGCTTGCTTGCAAATGACAGGGCCTGGTTCTGGCAAAGGACTAAGTGTGCCCCCCCCCCCAGCTTCCTCGCACGAGGAAGAGCTGGCTGCCAGCATTCAGCAAGCAGGCTGCTCAACAACTCACCCCACTACCAATTCACACGGACTATTTAGTTAGCCTCGCCGGCTTATGCAATTGCTCTGATTTAAATCCTCGCTCCAGAGGTCGTGTATGGCTATGTGTACATAAGACAAGGGGTATTTCTATAGATTCAAAGAGGAGATGGAGAGATAACCAACAGATATGCCACACAACAGACACTGGACAAAGGACAAACAATTCAACTTCTGCAGAGTCACACACATGAGCAGATGAAAGATGGAAAAGTGACTTACTTGATGACAGGCTAAGTGTCAGCACAATGGGAAAACACCGGACACCAGAGCACCATGCAAGACAGATGAGGATAACAAGATATGGCAGGCAGAAGTTTGACTTAACCTTCTTACATAGAAATAAATCACTTTTTTGGCGTAATGTAATTATGAACTGCAGAACCACCAAGGTATGCACACTTCCCCAGCACACTTCCCCCATTAAAATGCATTTCAATAGCAGCATGTACTATCATTTCAGCATTAGACTAGAATATTTGAGGAAAAGCTGCTCCTAATGCATGCTACAAACATACAAGCTCACAGTATTCTTTTCCGACCTAAACCACCCCCCCTGAATAACCCAGGCCTGCCTGGGATTACGGGAACCACAGTGCTGACCGTCAGCAAGCAGACTGCAGAGGATTTAGATCCTAAGGAGGAGAAAACAGGCAGATCCAGAGAAGGGACAAAACAACCTGTCAGCTGGAAGTTGTCAGACAGAATAATTGTCAAGTAAAGGCTTTGAGTAGTCTAAGCTGATATGCAAGCGATTATCTTTTCTGACTTCTACAATCCGAACATCACTAATCTTGACTAGGAATTCCTAGATTTTCTTAGGAGTATTTTCCAGCACTGATGCTGATTTTCTATAGCCCTCTCCTTGTTGTGGAGGAGAGGAGGGGAAAGATGCTCTGATAATCACACAGCTATTGCTGGCAATGCCAACAAGGAGCATATTGTAATCTTCCTACTGGGTAAAACTGGTCAAATTCACAAGCTAACTGAACAGGCTCTTTGTAAACGTTTAAAAGGAGCTGCTGGTGGTGGTACCAGGAATACACTGCAGGGAACAAGAGAAGGACTGCTGGAATCATTTATGTAGAAGTGAAAGATTAGCCTATATTGTTTAAAACCAGGCCTGACAATCTCGTCGGAAACTTGATTAAAGAAAGATGAGAAATAGGACACTACCACGAGGTTACTAATTATGCAGGAAAAACAGTAGGCTGAGCAGAGGGACAAGACATACCATGAGTTAAAAGACTGGTTAACATGACTGGAGAGCAATATACTCTGAGAGAGGCTTCCAGGAGAAATACAATATTAAAACTGTATTACCACCTGCTGAGAAATCTCAGACATGCCAAGAACCAGGAAATGTCAGAGTAACTGGAGACTTCAACTGCCTCCACACAGACTGGGTAGCTGTCACACCCCGGGTAGCTGTCACACCCCGCTGCTTGCCAAAAACCAATTTTCTAGTTGCCATAAATGACTGCTACATGGAACAATTAATCACAAACCCACAAGGAAAGGCAATTCATGATTTAGTCTTAGACAGTGCTAAGGGATAGCTGAAAACATTAGTTATCACTTGCCTGCTCTAACCGTGACTTTGGTATGCATCAATGTAACATCCTTCCAGGTGCAACAATACCATGATAGCTTTTATTTCAAGAAGAGAACTGCATAAATATAAGGAAACATGCTAAGCAAAAAGAAAAAGCTGAGATGTAAAACACCAACAGGCAACACTGAGATGATCTGAAGATGGCGTTGGGGAAAAATTCAACAAATGCACACAACCCATCAAAAAAGATTTCAGAAAGATCACAGAAGGAGTCTAAACAATTAAAGAATAGCATCATCAAAAATAATAGAAGGGAAAATCCTTCAGAAAAATGAAGGTCAAATAAAGATAGAAAAAATTCAAACTGGAAGGTTAAATTAAAAGCCACAAAAGCAGCCTCCTTGCACCTCCCTACCCAAATGAAAGTTTGAGAAACCTTTTTAAAAAAAAGCATAATTAGTGTAAAAAAAAATTAAAAATCCCTTTACAGACACTGCAGGATATTTATAGGGCCAAGAGGTGATCAAGTAATAAAAAAAGCAGAGACTGTAACACCACAGCAAAAACCCATGCATTTGTTTTTGCACATGTATTCACTATGGAGGTATTCGGGGAGGTTGCCACTCTGAATTCCTTTAAGGAAATATATCAGAGGATGCCACAGACTTGGAGGTCTGGAAGAAACGCCACAAAATAAAGCTATGCTTGAACAGCAACAGCATGCCAGGACTAGCAAGGATTCACCCAGGAGTTGTAAAGGACATCAAGAAATACCCAAACTAATAGCTGCTGCAGGTAACACTTGCCTTAAAACTGTATGAATACTATAAAGAAAATAAAACAGGCAAATACGACTGCAGATTTAAAAAGCATTTCAAGGGCATCAGAGGGATGAGAGAATAGAGTCTGAAATGTGCATTAGGCAGATGGGTAGAAAATACTAATGCAATCAGTGAATGCATGGGTATATGCAATATGCTGGAGGGTTAATTTGGCCTTGGTTAAGGGAAGTTGTGCCTCAAAATCTGTTAGTGACATTTGAGCCTGGGGCGAGGGAGATTCAGTTGGTGTACTCTACCTGGATTTTTCAGAAGCCATCCAACTACATCACTCGCTGAAAATTTTTAAAGAAACCAAGATAAATTGAGATAAAGGAAAAGGTCCCTGCAGGCAGAAAATTCTTTGAGATACAGTACAGAGTAGGAATCCATTTTTCCAACAGAGGGAGAAATCCTACACAGAGCTGAGCTAGGGCTTGTGCTGCGCAACATTATTCATAAAATATCTGGGAAGGGACAAAAAAAGAGCATGATGATAAAGTTTACTGACGCAAGAAGCTATCTGGGATAGCTAAAAATGAAAGGCAATTAAAAAACTTCCCCATACAGCACATGATCAGGTGACAAAAAATATCAGATGAAATGCAGTATTGGTCATATTGTTTCTCCATATGCATGGCTATGCAATCTTAAACTTACTTAGATAGTAGCAGCCTCTCAAATAGCTATGACCATTCTGGAAGGAAGCCCCGAGACATCAGATCAGTGTTTAGCAGCACTCAGAAAAAGCAAAAAGAATGCCAGCAACTATTAGAAGACAGGAAACATTATAGCACTATACACATCCACGTCAGTCCTACATTTTGAACACTAGCTAGTTTTCACCACTGCTGTCCATCTCTAGAAACACCCAGAAGTATAAAGAAAGGTGACAAAACTTAGAAGATATATGGAACAGATTCCACCTGAAAACTCAAGTAAACTAGGACTCTCCACCTTGGAAAAGACAAAGATGACATGAGGAAGGATGTGAGGGGCATTGACATTGAAGGGGTGAGGATATAATAAGCATTGATGGGCTCTGCTAATGCAAAAATTAGAAAGCACTGTCTGCTTATGAAACAGGTTCAAGAAGAATCCCCCTCACTCCAAAGACAAACATTTTCATACAGCATGTGCTAAACTGTAAAGCTTCTTCCCATAGGAAATTATGGATGCTAAAGATTTACAGGAGGAAATCTACATTCAGTACTAGCACAAGTCATACATTCCATTGGGAGTTGGAACTAGATGATCTTTAAGGTTTGTTCCAACCCAAACCATTCTATGACTCTAAAAAAAAAAAAAAGGGCAAAAAAAAGCAAGCCACCTGTAAGAATAGTATTGAAACATAGTTGAAGTCAAGCATACTTAAGAGTTTTAGCTGAAAGACTGTCTCCACCGTTTAAGGAGATCATATATATATATGGAGATTACATATATAAGTATATAAAACTCAACATAAAGGCAAGACTCCCCCACAGCAAACACACAATAAAAACAAGACATTCAGGTTTTAGAATAAGGTAAGTTTGCCCCAATCTACCTTGTTCTACTTCTTCCAGCTGTCCTGGCACATCCATCAGTTAAAAGCCCTGCCTTCATAACCTGTTTGAGACAACAGCTCAACTGTCTTTATTACAATGAAGCAAAAAAAGCAGTCCACACAGTGAGGACATGCTCAAGGAGAGCAATCAATAGGACACCTTTCTGTACATTCACGTCACTGTCAGCACTTTGACGTGCTCTAATCAAAAGTGCGAGTGCGCAGAGTAATCCTGTTGACACCTTCTAGGCTCACACAGGATCACAGTGATCAACATATAGCAATCAACGTAACAGAGGAGACTGAAGCCTTCCCAGACGTGACAATCCCAGCGTAGCCCAGGCAGCACCTCTGCCCTTGCTCTCCCCGTACCTGTCCAGGTCATAGAGGGTGTGGGAGTTCTCTATCACCACCTCCACACCAGCCTCCTTGGCCAGTTTGATGATAGCTGCGTCTCTCTCCTTACCAAACGGCTCTGAGTCGTATTCAAAGGTGAGACGAGTGACTCCCCATTCCTGCAAGAAAAACAATACATACAGCTGTCAAACAGAAGAGCCTTTCTAACCCAGCACAATTACGAATGAGGATGTCAGAATTCCTGGCCAGTGTTAAGTCCTGGAAACTTAAAGAGTGTTCCTGTGAGGAATGGCAGTCTGGAGTCATGATAACCAAAGAATCAACAATTTTATCAGCTCTAGCAAACAGTGCATCTACTATGCAAATTCCTAAATGTTAGGTTTAAAACACGCAAGAGGAGGTTTCAGTTCTTATCTACTAATGTTCTTAGGTTACAGCTCAGTCCCCAAGCCTAACACCACCTTCTTTTGTTGCACATGCTGTCCAAAAGTAACCCTACCATCCTGTTCCAGCATTTGCAGAGAAAACATTTCAGAGAACTCTTTCAATATGACTGCCATTCAAAACCCCCATATTTTTATGTGGAGACTATCATTAAGTAAAAACAACGCACTCTAATTTTTTTTTCCAATGTCTCTTTAAAACCATCACATAGTAGAGGACCAATGTCAAACCCAAACAGCAAAAAAACAGGGTAGTGAGAAATGCAGGACAAAGGATGGCAACTGAGTGAACGTTTCTGGTCAGCACACCAGAGTATGATACTGCAGTTCAGATTTAAATTAAAGTTCTGCCTTTGGGGAGTTATTTTACCCTAGTCAAGCCAAGCACCCATTCTGTATCTTCACACCTTTAATAGATCCCTCACAGATTACATGGAATAGGCCTTATGAAATAGCATTCAGCCTCCTCCAGGCTTTTCTAGAGCACAGTTTGCTCTCAAAGACTATGGCCTAGTTTTCCTCAGAAAATGAATCCTATGAGAAGAGGTTTAATGGTTTCCACAGCGACCCTCCCGAGACATCCATCAAGCAGAGCAGCAGCCCACAGATTTGTTTAGCAAACACTTTAGTCAAACACAGCCAGAAATCTATAGAGACACTTAAAACCCGCCTCACACAACTAAGATGTGAACCACATTCTCCAAGTGAGACAGCCTAAGTCACCTCTGTGTATACAGGACAGGATTTTTTCCACTTTGGAACCAGAAACAAAGCACAAAGAACACATGTGATTAGTTCATTAAAACCCATTAAAAAATAATGCCAAAGATGGGGAAGGGAAATTAGAAGCAGAAAACAATTGTACAAGCCCCGTTCTCTTCTAAACTTTCAGATTAAATCCTAAAATTAATATTAGGAAGGACAGACAATTCAAACAGATATATAGCATTGAATATACATCTCAGAGAGGTCCTCCACTCCATTTTCAAAATAAGAACATGACAGCATCCATAAGTCAGAGTAAGGGTCAAACAGACAAGTTCCAGGACCTGCCCTGCTCCTATGTGATTTAACAGCTTCCTTTTAAACTTTTCCTTTTTTTAATAAGGCAGGCTGTATCAACTGAAAGGCTTGGAAAAGATGGCTTTGGTCTTGAATAAACATACATTACTGCCTTGAAAGAAAGAAAAAAACCCCCAACAAACCAACAATAAAACATTTAAGGCTAACAGAGATTTTAAGTAAGACTACAAAACTTAAAATTCAGATATTTCCTACAGTTTTGAGAAGCCCATCACTCTATGTGCTACAGTAGCACACAGGAAGCAGAGAACAGAAAACAGAACCAACCAGAAAACAGTAAACTGTATGACAATAAATTGCTGCCAACATACAAAAGAAAAGTCGTGACTGACTTGTCTCTTAGTATCTAGCCTATAGCCAAGAAAAACTGTAGGGGAAAAAAACCCCACACCAAAGGGATTGTGAGCAAGCTTCAATGGACAAAGAGGTAAAGTTACGGATGTTTGTTCAGAGGAAGTAAGACAAAAAACCTCTGCAAAGGTTAACGCAAAGCTAACAAGTACACTTCTCCTCACGATATCCATGCATAATAGTGCCTTTCCAGTGACTGTTATCGACAAGATAGCTCAGCTACTGGCAGCAAGAGCAGAAATTATATTAGGTCTAAGTGTTGCATTACCACATGTGACATAACTCTCCTCTCCTCTCCACAACAGCTGACAGCAAAGCATGAGTTGCTGCTAATTCAGTGTTCAGTGCAGCAGCTCTGGAGAGGTCTGAATTCCCATGAAAGCCATATATTTACCAAATAATAGCATAAACCACCCCCTCACATTCTTTTGAGCTCTGTTACAGCAGATCTAAGATATTCATCAATTCACCTGCCCAGGCAAAACAGACTGCAGCAAAAAAGCAAAAATCTGGCTGATTCCACAACCATCTCTCCAAACCTCAAACTCTGCCAACTACTTTTTGTTTGTTGACCAAAGCAAGTGTTTTTCTCCAACACAGATTTAATTATCCTGTGAATAACTTGAACTAAAGTGAGGAGAGCATGGACTACTACTAGCCACAACTTATTTGCAGATCAAAAGACAAAAATAACCCAGACTCTGAAAAGGCTAAAAGCAGCACATAGTTTGTGTCATGTGTTAACATGCAGAAGCCAAAATAAATATCAGTGCCCCTTCTGACCTGCATAGTCTGATTCCCCTCCCCAGTACTGCTCTCCTCCAGAAAATACACATCAGAACCACTTACAGCAAGAAGATACAGATTCAAGTTTACCTCTCCTTCTCAGCAGCTGGTCTATTGCAGGCTTTGGGGACACTAGTTCTATCATACGCAAGGTACAGTTCACATGATAAACCCAACTCATAAGACTATTGTGAACTATGTTTTTTTCCTTTAGCTTTGCCACTCAAGCAAAGACACTGCCAAAAAGCTTCAAAGGCAACGGGAAATACAATCTTAGAGCAGGACAGAGAAGAATGATACTGCTTGAGGAACCTTGATATTCAAGGAGATGCTCTTGCTAGCCCTGTCGCAGCCACAGCACTGACATATCACTTTAGAAATGTATTCCACTAATCCATTATCAGCCACTAAGGTCACTGCATATTTCACCATCGTAAATGGTACATCAGCAGTAAGCTTGGACCCAAGCTGTATTCTGCTGCTGAGCTGACTGAGATGCAGCCTTGAACAGAAGAAAAGGAAGGTCAGCTAACATAAAAGCTTCTGAATTTTGAAATTTTAAGACAAAGCCCTATTTGCAATTCACATACAGATCAATATGCTTTTTCAGTTGTCTGTAAAGGTGTATGGACATAGTTTGCCCAAGTAAAAGCGGCAGGAAGAAAACGGCCAGTAGGGAAGAAGCTTTCAACACAGAGGAGTCAGTGTGTTACAGCGCAACCCTATGAGACCCAACTCACAGAAACAAAGGCAAAGACCACCATCCAAAAAGAGAAGCTCAAGCATCCTGGTACTACGTTACACCCTACTACTAAATTTCTTTGCAAGTTTGACTTCAAGAGCATATCTGGCTTCCAAGCTGGCCCTTATGGATAAAGTTAGTTAAAGAGAAGAGTTACAGTGAAGAACTAGTTATAGTTTAAGAGAAGCTGAGGGGATCTCTAACAACTAGCAAGTCATTAGTGAGTGAAAACACGGATAGCACTGGGATATCAGTTTTTCTTCACTATGTTCCAGAAAATTACTTTGTTCTCTTACTTTAAAGAGCCTTGGGAAGACATCTGTTGGCTGCCCTCGTACAACAAACAATCGAGAGTTGAGTTTCCTTAAACTGTTGTCCAGATCTTCCAAGGACTGGAGCAGAAATCTGTAGAGAAAAAGCAACAGTGGTTAGTGTTAGTCTAGTTATGGCTAAAAGACAACAAGGAGAACTCCAGCATGGAGTTTGCATGGAACTCCAGCAAACCTGCATCACCAAATCAAACTGAAAGTCAGGACAAGAAACAAAACCCAAGAATTCATATTGATCCCTGGTCTGTCTACCAACTGCTCCAGCCAGCTCCCAGCCAGTCATATGCATGTTCTGCTTGTCCAGATGCAAGAGGTTTCCAGGATTTTCTTCTTCCTGCAACACCCTTCCCATGTTCTGTCTCAGACCTGGCAGCACCCCTCCCGCCAGCTACTCTCTCCACATTACAACATGGAGAAAAGCATAAACCATGTAATTCCCAACAGTGTATTCTTTCATGGGTTCTAGGGCAAGAGGGGTTTTGCATATGAAGTAGAAAGATGTCGATACACTACTCCAAGGAAAGTAATGAATTACTACAAGAACTGTGCAAGTCTTACAGTTTTGGCTACAAAGGGGCGATGTCACAGCAGAGAAATGTGCACTCCTAGCTCATCAGTAGCAACAGACTGAGCAGCAAGACCTCCCAAGGCAACAATTATCTGTAGCTGGAATAGTTGCAAACAGAACTGCAATTTATCTTCCACCACGAAGACACGAAGATGAGAGCATGCCAAGATGTTAATCTATTCCTTCATACCCCAAAACTGTAAAAAAGCATTTAAGTGCTTTTTGCATTTAATGGTGTGACTGATCCCCCACTACGCTATAAAACAGGAAATGTATCATCTTTGCTTTCACAGCCACAAGTCACCTCATCTACAATGTAACTTGACTTTGTTTTGCTTAACTCTGCAAAAGACACCAGCTTTAAAACTTTAATCTCTGCGACAGCACGTGGCACTGCTGGCAAACTTGCAACCCTTTGTAAGGGAGCCTGCCTACCTCTCCCTCATTCCCCTACATGCCCACTCTGCAGCGTGATCTGAAAGACATGAGTATCTGCACCAGCTCCCTTAAGGCCACACACAGCTAATAGGAAAGCTAAGCTACAATTGCTCTGGAAACTGGGTACTTCCTCCCTCCTCAACTGCACTGCCCGAAACGCGAACTGGAAGCTTTGAGATAGATCAAGCTCCCTCTGCACTTCCTGAGGGAGAAAGGGACTCGGGGTTCATGGAAAGAAGGGCACAGTATCACAGTACAGAAGACCCAAAAGCAGATCTGGGCAGCCAAAAGAAACCACTCCCCTACCCCTAGCCCCCTTTCCATCTATTAAATAGGAATATCAACTTTCCAATGCGTTCTAAAAATTAAACAAGGGTTTGTCCTATATGGCTCACACATGCTGTGCAGTTAAATAATAAGGGATTTTCAACCTGATACATTTCTGGGAGCTAGGTAAACACAAACATTTGCTTTTGGAACACAGAACTCTAAATAAAAGCAACTGCATAAAAAAAAGCAAAACAAAGCCAAGGATCCCAATGGGAACCAATGAAACTCCAGTAAATAAAAGTAATTTGCCAATACATTTTTGCCTGACAGCGAATGGTGCTAATTTCTGACATCTGCAGTAGGTACACACCTCCAAGAAAACACGATTTTTTAAAACTTCACCTGCTGATATATTTCATGACTACAACATAAAACCACTATCTGCTTTCCTCCCTCCGCAATGTTGATGGAAATAAACAAGGATTAAATGGATCAGGAATTAATCTTTTGGGGGCACTGCTTTGGTTCTTCCAAATGGGGACAGTTAGCAACAACTGCAGCACGTGAAAGGCATTTATCTGCTGTTGTCTGTAGGAAGTCTGGTCTATGGCAAGATCACTTCAAGCTCCTAGGATATTAAGCAGTAACAGAATTCACAGTTTTCTGTAATTTGAACATCTACATTGTGGTCATTTCTGCACATTTACAACGCTTAAGCCATCCTCTGTGGTGGGTTCTAGAAATGCTTAGACATTGCCCACACTATCCCATCCCTCTAAGATGAAGCTAAGGTGCACAGCAGAGGCAATCAGTTACAACTACAGTCTCCCTAAGGCACAGCCACGTGACATTTCAAAGAGCACCTAAAAGGATTTTTAGCCAGGTGGCTATCCTGTCCAGAATCCCCTCGATGGGGTACTGCAGGGGGAGATTTGCTTTGTTTGTATGCAGGGGAGTCTTGCAGAGGAGAATCCCTACCTGGGTTTGATTTCCAAATGTTTAGGCAGCCAAGACCTGACACAACAGCATTATGTAATGTTATTGGGTACAGGTACATAAGGCCTTGCTCTCTGCCCAGACATGACTCACTCTCTATACATTTTCCCATTTGCAGAGAGAGCCCAAACACCTTCATCTCCACCCTCCTAGCAGCAGCCAAAGCATATTTCCCTAAAAATTTGGGGGGGGGGG